TCGAAATTTCTAAGGGAGAGTTAGAAATAGTACCGGTACCAGAAAAGTTGGGGAACCAACTCTGGAGTGTTGAAAAGGGTTGAGCGTTCTGAGGAGTAAATAAAACATCCCAGCAACATGGTATTAAGGCCCCAACCCAGGCCAAGGAGAGAAGTTGTATCGGCCTCTGAAAAACCTTTCTACCCACTCTCAGGTGAAGTTTTAAGTAGAATCTGCAGCTTCGGGTGTAGGAAATAGGGATAATGATTATTTTGATATACCCCATGATCCTAACAATGAGACTATCTTCGGCTACTCGGAGCGGCAGCTGCCACTACTCCTCGAGGTGCTCTGCAAAGGGCGACGCCTCCAGGGGATGGTGGATAGCGGAGCGTTCCACTCGTTGTGCAACCGCGTAACATTGGAGAAAGTTGGGGAGTCCTCGGAGGAGACCCAGTTCACGGCGACGATGGTGGACGGCAGCAGGTTAAATTGGGAGAGACTCGTGCGCATCTTCACCAAGGGCCTCATCCCGTTCGCATTCATCAAAGATGAAGTTTTCGGGCGTACTTGCATTGTCTCAACCCAAAGGCAAATATCTCGAGCCGTGCGACTCTTGCGGATGACATTCATGCCTCCTATAACGCTTGTGTGAGTAAGATTAAGAATCTTCTTTTGAATCTCTCATTCAAGTTGTCATTCACACTTGGCTTTGGTCCGGCCCCAAGAATGGCTCGTACATAGCAATCACTTGCCATTGGATTGATGATGATTTCAACTCCAAGTCCGTTTTGTTGGTTTTCAAGCATTTTCAAGGCCATCATATGGGCGAAGCCATCAAGAGTGCATTTGTGAAGTGTGTGCATAAAGATTGGGAGTTGGGGGAGAATGTGATGGCCATCACGGTGGACAATGCCTCCATCAATAAGCGTTTCATCGATTTTTTTGGGGTGGAGAAGGGGTTTCCCATCAAAAGACACATGAGATGCTTCAACCATGTGATCCATCTTGTGGTTGATGTAATCTTGAAGCACCCCCCTGTTGAAGAAGCTCTCAAGAAGATACGAGTGTTTGCAATACATCTCAAATGGTTTTTTTTTAGGGAAGTTTTGGATTCGGTGCAAGGAGAAAGAGCTTCACAACGTAGCATCACTTGCGCATAACACCCATACTCGTTGGGGTGTTGCTCACTTCTTAATGAAAAGAGCAGGATTGCTCCGACTTGCTATAAATGCGTACTTCGTGGAAGATGTGGGTGATGATGTGGAATGGGAATTTCGGATGAAGAGTGAAGAGTGGGATTGCATTGAGCGTCTTGATAACCTTCTTGAGCCATTTGCCGAAATTCAAAACATTCTAGAGGGCTCGAGCTACCCAACCTTATCTTTGTGTGTACCATCTGTTAATGCTTCAATGGATATTTTGGAGGGGAGGGTGGAAGACAAGGGGGGGTTCTGGTAGACGTACAAGGAGGGCCTTGAGAAACTCAAGGGATACTATGACCGGTCATTAGAGGAATACACCATTGCTACGGTCTTGGACCCAGGGTTCAACCTTGAGTACTATGCCCATAGTGAGAGGTTGGGTGGTGATCATCAATGGACCGCAAGTGTGCGAGAGTACATCTCCAAGGCATATAAGGAGTACGAAAAAAAGAAACATTCTAAGGGAAGAGAAGCTGTCGAGAGTAACACTTCAACCGCAACTCCCCAGAACTCCTGGATTGAACTAAAAGCGTCTTGTATTTTTGTGTCATTTTCGATTGCCACAAAAGTGGGGAGACCATGGAGATAACCACTCAATTAGACGACTATCTCCAAGATCGACCTTCGCTCAAGATATCACCAGATTCGAGTAGTTCCGGAGGATCAGGACAAGACGGCGTTTCGTACGAAGCAGGGGCTGTACGAATTTAGGGTTCTACCGTTCGGTTTGACCAACGCCCCAACGACGTTTCAGACGCTCATGAACACCGTCCTCTCCGAGTTCCTAGGTTCGTTCGTCGTAGTTTACCTAGACGACATCCTCATCTTCTCCAAGTCGAAAGAGGAGCACGTGCAGGAGGTCTTCGAGGTCTTGCGGAAGGAGCAGTTGTACGCTAAGCAGTCGAAGTGCGAGTTCTTCCTCCCCGAAGTCGAGTTTCTAGGTCACGTCGTATCTGCTAGTGCCATTTGGACCGACCCGAAGAAGATCGCAGCAGTACATGACTGGATAGCTCCGACCTCAGTCAAGGAGTTGTAGAGCTTTCTCGAATTCGCGAATTACTACCGTCGTTTCGTTCAGGGTTACGCATCGATCGCTAGTCCACTCACCGACCTTCTTCGGAAGGGCGTAGATTTCAATTGGGGTCCAGTGTAGTAGCTGGTGTTCGAGCAGATGAAGCAGTCGCTCACGTCTTCGCCGACACTATCGTACCCAGATCCCACTCGCCCTTATGTTGTAGTGACCGACGCATCAGATCGAGCCATTGGAGCAGTGCTTCTACAGGACCAGGGGCGCGGGTTGCAGCCGATCGCGTACGAGTCGCGTAAGCTGAGGGGGGCCGAGCTGAACTATCCGATTCACGACAAGGAGGCGCTCGCGATCATCCATGCGTATAAGGATGTGTATAAGGTGTGGAGGTGCTACCTAGAGGGGGCAGATAGTGTTATACGCACGGACCATTGCTCGCTTCGTTTCCTCAAGTCACAGCCGCAGCTGAGTCGTCGCCAGGCTAGATGGATGGAGTTCATGGAGGGGAGCTTCCACTACAGGATAGAGTACAAGCCAGGCGTGCGCAACCCAGCAGATCCACTCACTCACCCTAGTTGCCAGCTCGCTAGTCTCACAGTCACTGCCGGCCATCCACTCCTCACAGCACTCTTCGAGCACGGTTACATAGTAGATCCCGACTTCACACCACAGCCACTCGCAGGAGCAGAGGTGCAGGGTAGTGTCTACATACGAAAGAATACCACACGGATTTGGGTTCCAGCCTACCGCCCTCTTCGACAGCTTCTTCTTTCAGAGGCACACGACGTAGTTAGTGCAGGGCACTTTGGAGCAAATAAGACGGCTAAGACGCTTAGTCGCACGTACTTCTGGCCAGGGCTTGCAGCAGACGTAGAGGATTACATTCGCTCGTGCGACACGTGTCAGCGTACGAAGTCCTCTCGCCAGCGCAAGGCAGGACTTTTGCAGCCGATTCCACCGCCTGACCGCCCTTGGCAGGTAGTCACAATGGATTTCATCATGGCTTTACCGTGCACAGTTAGGGGTCATGACGCCATCTTCGTGGTAGTGGATAAGTTTTCTCGCGCAACGCACTTCATCCCCACGCACGGCAAGGTCACACCAGAGGAAGTCGCGACGCTGTTCGTAGATAACGTAGTCCGGCTGCACGGGGTTCCAGATTCCATCATCTCAGACCGCGACCCTCGTTTCACTTCGAAGTTCTGGAAGCAGCTTTTTGCATTGTTTGGGACTTGCTTAGCCATGTCGTCTGCGTACCATCCAGAGACAGACGGACAGACCGAGCGTGTGAACCAGACCTTGGAGCAGATTCTTCGCAGCATCACGATGCACGACGCAGCCGCATGGGACAAGAAGCTGAGCATGGCAGAGTTCGCCTACAACAACACGCATCACTCGTCCACAGGCATGTCACCGTTATTCGCACTGTACGGTCAGCACCCCAATGTCCCCACTCGTGTCGATCTCACACCCACAGTCCCTCGTGCGGACAACTTCCACCAGCATCTCACCTTCATCCATGATCATGTGAGGAAGCACCTTGAGCTCGCAATTGCACGCATGGCACGCACCACCAACCGCAGTCGTCGTGAGGTGTTGGTTGCAGTCGGCAACCGTGTCCTTTTGGATAGTCGCAACCTCCGACTGCCACAGGACAGCAAGCTTCGCCCTCGTTTCATTGGTCCATTCGTCATTGAGCGCGCACTAGGTCCAGTCGCATACCGCCTCCGCCTTCCCGCTCATTTCCGCATGCACCCATCATTCCACGTGTCTCTCCTACGGCCTTACACCGATCCCAACGCCACCTTCTCGGGCCGTGATCGCACTCCACTGCCGGTAGCTGTTGACACCGACGAGCCCGATTACCAGATCCAGCGCATCCTCCGGCACCGTCGCCGTCTCCAGAGGGGTGTCTCTTTCATCGACTTCTTGGTTCGTTGGCGTGGTTACGACGCAGCAGACGACAGCTGGGTTCCTTCGTCCTCACTGTCTCCTGACAACGCTTACCTCCAAGCGCACCTTCAGTCTGCAGGCGCCGCGGACGTCGCCTCCTTGGGAGGGGGGTAGTGTTAGAGGGGGATTTACTGTTCACTTTGAACAGTGCTTCCCAACCCCATCTTATCCTTATCTTCATAGATTTCCTAGTGCCGCGTGGCACTCTAGCTTTCTTGCATTCTACTTCGTAGTCCCACGAACTACTTTCCGACATTCGCTCTTGCATGCTATATCAACCTTGCTTGTACTTGCCATTATCAACCAATTACCATTCAACTATTACTCAGTTACTTCTTCGCCTATTTCGCTAAGACTTCCTTCGCCAAAGTCTTCCGCCGCGCTTCATCCTCAATTTAGTCAACCCCGCTATTCTTTAGCGGATTTAGGCCAAGGGGCCTAACAATATTGGTAAACGCTTATGCTACAGTAAGTTATTGTACGCTTCACAGCGGACTTCCGAACCGTACCGTTGTTCTGGAAAAATAATCCAGAAAAATAATCCAGATGTTCCAGAGAACTAGTCAGAGAACACAGCGAACCTGCCGTTCCGAACACAAACTATTGCCGTCTCTCAAGCCATAGTCCCTCTCGTCCTCATCCTCTAGCCTCGGGTTGCCCTAGCCTGGCATAGGCCGCGTCGTGAGGTTGTAACCCGGTATCTACACACGAAACTGGCTTCAGTTCTACAACGGAGTGTTCTCTCCCAACGGAGTGTACTAGAAAGCGCGTCGCGATCTGGGAAATATTTGACCACTTAGCGATTATCTGTTAGCCCCGCTGGCGAACGTGTCAGAATGCTATGGGTGGACAAGCACCGACCAGCCACGCTGGACAAAATCACCGTTCACCGCGACACGGCTTTACAGTTGAAGCAGCTGGTGGGTAGCGCACAGCAGCGCCTATTGCCCGCGTCTCTGCAGCACCCCTCCCCGCATAGAGGAGATGTTTCTCCCGCGCATTCTCACGTGCAAGCACCGATTCGGACTCCTTGTCCCACCTGCTTTCCCCTTTCGCCTCCTTCCACCCTCCTTCCGCTCCCAAGGCACACACCAAGTCGCATGCTCCCATCTGCTGCTGTTCGAACAGCAGGCCCTGCATGCCTCTCCCTTCCAGGATCATCGGTCCACAATACATGTTCGTATCCCCCCCGCTCCCCTCCCCTTTCCTCCTTCCCCCTCTCCCCCCTTTCAACCCCCTCTCCCCTCCTCAATCCCCCTTTCCTGCAGGGTCGTACGGGCGATTGCCCTCCCTCATCCGCTGCTGTTCGGCCCGGGCCAAGGCATGAGGGTGCAGCTTCCTACTCCCCTCCCCTCCCCTCCCCTCCCCTCCCCTCCCCTCCCCTCCCCTCCCCTCCCCTCCCCTCCCCTCCCCTCCCCTCCCCTCCCCTCCTCTCCCCTCCCCTCCCCTCCCTTCCGCTCTCCTCCGCTCCCCTCCCCTCCCCTCCCCTTCCCTCCCCTCCGCTCCCCTCCCCTCCCCTCCCCTCCCCTCCCCCCTTCTCCTCCCCTTCCCAGGCTCATCGAGCAACAGTAATACATATCTCGTCTCAGCATCTTCCCGCCTTCCCTTCCCCCGTCTTCCCCCCCGTTGCAGGTGGAAACAGGCGACTGCCCGCATCTGCTGCTGTTCGGCCCGTTAGGCAACGACACAATAAAACATGTCTTGTTCTCCCTCCCCCCTCCACCCCACACCCTCTTTCTCCCCCCTCCCTTGTGCAGGTGCAAGCGGGTGACTGCCCACATCTGCTGTTCTTCGGCCCGTCAGGCGCCGGCAAGAAGACGCTCGTGCTCGCACTGCTGCGCGAGATGTTCGGCCCGGGGGCTGATAAGGTGAGGGAGGGGGAAGGTTGAGGGGGGGAGGTGTGAAAAGGGGGGGAACTGACTGTGTGCTGTGTGCGGGCAAGAAGACCCTCGTGCTCGCGCTGCTGCGCGAGATGTTTGGCCCCGGGGCTGATAAGGTGGGGTGGGGAGGGAGAGAGGGGGGGAGACGGGGAGGGGGGAGGGGGGGTTGGGTTGGGAGGGTTGGAGAACGTGTGGGGATCGGTTGGGAGAGCGGGAGGGCGAGGGGAAGGAGGGAGAGTGACATGAGCACGTTTTGAGTTTTGATGGAAACGCTCCATCTTCCAGAACGAACGGTGTTGAACACTGTATCTCTTGCGTCCACATGTGTGACAGGGTCTGACAGCTGTGTGGGCTTGACGTGGGGGCTGAAGGGGGGTGGTGGGGATGGCACACCGTTTAGCAAGCGAGAAGAACACTCTCAACTGGTGGCGGTGTGTTTGTTGAGACCTCATAACGATATTAATCTGTGCCCATATGTTTTGGTTTGTGCATGCATTTGTGTTCATGCATGTGTGTGAATGATGAGAGTATGTGTCTGTCTGTGTGTGTGTGCACGCGCGCGCGCGTCTGCGTGTGCGTGCATGTGTTTGTGTATGTGTGTGTGTGCGTGTGTGTGTGTGTGTGTGTGTGCGTGTGTGTGTGTGTGTGTGTGTGTGTGTGCGTGCGTGCATGTGTGCGTGTGCGAGCGTGCGTGTGTGTTCGTGCGTGCCTGTGTGCCTGTGTGCATGTGTGTGCAGGTGAAAGTGGAGAACAAGCCGTGGAAGATTGAGGTACGTTCCACTCAACTCCCCAGCTCTGCAGCTTGCCTCTTGTCAGACCCATGTAGCCATGGCAGCTCATGAGTCGTTTCAGATGCCGCACTGCTCTCCTGACAAGCCCTCTTCTGCATGCCTCCCCCCCCAACCAGGTTACATCTGTTGTCTGCCAGGCGGTGAATGAAAACCCAGCAATGTAACCTATAGTAACCCATTACATCTACTGCCTTGCCTGGCAGGCAGGCACGCGGAAGCTAGAGGTGGAGCTGACGACAGTGAGGATCAGTCCCAGCAATGCAGCCTGTGGTAACCTGGTTACACTGATTCCCTTGCCTGGCAGGCAGGCACGCGCAAGCTAGAGGTGGAGCTGACGACGGTGGCGAGCAACCACCACGTGGAGCTGAGTCCCAGCGATGCGGGCTTCCAGGACCGCTACGTGGTGCAGGAGATAATCAAGGACATGGCGAGGAACAGACCCATCGACAGCAAGGGCAACAGAAGCTTCAAAGGTGCGTGCAGGGTGGGTGTGGCTGTGGGTAAGGGGAGCGTGGCTCTGGTCAATGTCGGACGGTGTTTCTCTGGCTGGTACTGAGGGTGGGTGGCGTGGCAGTGTTGGCATTGCGTGGTGTTATTGGGTGGGTCGTTGAAGAGAATGTTACTGCAACTGAAGACAAATCATAGTCAGTCAGGCGGCTTGCTGCTTCTTGAGGTCATGTTTCGTGCCCTTTACTGCCTGCCAACCTCTCTCTTCTCATTCTCTGTTTTTCCACTCTCTCCACACATCTTTCTTCCTTCTTCGTCTCTCCAAACCCCCTCCTCCACCCCCCCTTCCCCCCCACCCGCCCCAAGTAGTGCTGGTGGTGTTGAACGAGGTGGACCATCTGTGCAGGGAGGCGCAGTGTGCTCTCTCTCGCCTCCACTGCTCTCTCCACACTTCGCTCTTCCTTCTTCCTCTTCCCTCTCCCATCTCCACTACCCCTCCCCCAAGCAGTGCTGGTGCTGAACGAGGTGGACCATCTGAGCAGGGAGGCGCAGCACGCATTGCGGCGCACCATGGAGCGCTACACTGCCGCCTGCCGCATCGTCATGTGCTGCTCCTCCGCCTCTCAGGTGAGGTGGGCAGTGATGTGTGAGTGAGGCACTTCACGACTGGAGAATGTTGCAGATCATGCTGTACCCGTGTCGTGGAGCAATGCACAGCTGCTGCCTGCACTGCCAAATGCTGCTCATTCCCTCTCATGGGTCATGCAAACTTGACTTGACTTGACTTGACTTGACTTGACTTGTTCTTCCTGTCGTGATTGCCATTATAGCCACCGTGCATTCGCGATTCTCAACGCAGAGATAGGCATTTCGTGTTCCGTGGCATCCTTATGAGTCGACTCAATTGGTTGGGCAGAATGTCTTGCCTTGCTTCTTCGCTGCCTGGCACCCACCAGGTCACAGAGGCTCTTCGCTCGCGATGCCTCAACCTCCGCATCGCTGCTCCTTCCCACGATCAGGTGTGCTTTGCACACACATGCTTGCACTCACACACCCTCACACTTACCCCAGTCACCCCAGTTCCTCCCTTCAAGTCCTCCCACTTGCTCTGTGTTCCCTCATTTTCCTCCAACTCCTCGTCTCCACCCTGCTCCCTCCCTTGATTCTCCCCCTCCGTCCCACACTGATAAGGACAGCTATAGAGAAAGCGGCAGGCAAGGAGGTAGTAGGCAAATTACCTAGTGTGTCAGTCAGTCAAGAGTCTCATCGCCCTTGTCATCTCCCCCCATTGCAGAGATGGAGCTTGTGCTGTGGTGCAGTGAGTCAGGTGCAAGGAGGAGGCACGGAGGAGATTTGCACATTCAGCCGGTTGATCTGCGTTTGCATCCAAGGAGGGCTTGAGCCGCCAGTGATTGCAGGGCTGTTGTGAGTCGACTCAAAACACACCCCTTTCCACCCCTCCCCACCTCCTCTTCCCCCCATTTCTCGGCAGATAGTGGATGTGCTACAGGAGGTGGCAGGCAAGGAGGGAGTGACCTTACCGCCGGTGCTGGCGGGGCGCATGGCGGTGAGCAGCAACCGCAACCTGCGCAAGGCACTGCTCTCCCTCGAGGCTGCTAAGGCTGCCCAGTGAGCGCCCTGCCTGCTCCCTTTTGTGTAGCGGCTCTCACACCCTCCATCTCCTATCAGACAAAAACTACCACACTGTGCGGTGCGGCCCCACCTGCCCCCGTCCGTAAGTCCGTCTGCAAGCTTCATCTCCTATATGTACCCTCGGTTTTCTGTTTTCTTAACGAATTACAACTTGAGTTTCTTGCACGCAAGTCCGTCCTCCATCTCACACCCTCGTCCTCTCACAACTCTAACTCACCACCACTCCCCATCATCTTCTCCACCATACCGCATCTACAGCCATCACATTGCCAGTTGGGTCAAGGTCGGCAACTAAGTTGGAAAAAACGTGTTTCGCGTTTAGTACGCTTTCGTATAAACGCTAGCGTCTAAACGCAAAACGCTGGCCTGGAGGGGTCTGGTACGCACAAGAATCCGCTTGCCCGGGCAGGAAAAAAAATCCCCTGGGCAGGTTAGATGCTAGGCCAAGAGATGGAAACGGGAGATGCTGTAGTAGTCCACTACTATCTGCTGCTGTAGTAGGTCATCGTCGCAAGTGAAATAATAAGGGGAGGAAGAAATCGAACGCAGAGATTATCGAAGGGAAAAGCGGCCTGACATTAGAGTGGGGAGGATGAGTCTGGTAGAAGTTGGCAACAAATTGGATGGGGTTGGAGTGGGTTGTTGAGCGGTGGATAGGAGGGGATGATCCACCAAACAATATCGAAATTCAGATCTGAAGTTGCATTTGCAATGCGCGAACTCAGGTCTGAATTTCGAGACTCAAATTGAGTTCGCCAGATCGCGAACTCAACTGATATTTTTTTCCGGTCGGCCCGAGCGAAATTTGGCGAATTTTAGAGAAATCCGCAGCGTACGAATTCTAGATGCGTATAAACTTAATACGCAACTTCAAACTTGCGTTTTTTCCAACTTAGGTCGGCAAGCCCATCATCTCTCTTGAGAGATGATGCTGCTGCAACTGCCCACTCGTATCCTCTTCCCCTGCTCGCACTGCCACCCCTTTCCCCAATGCGCATGGCCAGCCTGCCCCCGACCTCTCCTCCCCATGCGCACGCCCATTCCCACCCACCCCTTTCCCTACTGCCCTCCACCCACCCATGCGCGCAGCTATCCCTTCAGTGACAGCCAGCCGGTGCAGCAGAACGACTGGGAGCTCTGTGTGGGTGAGATCGCTGCTGACATCATCAGCGAACAGAGCCCCCGCCGGTGAGGCACGCGTGGTAGGGGTGGGGAGAGGGTGGGCGGGTGGGGAGAGGGTGGGGAGAGGGTGGGCGGGTGGGGAGAGGGTGGGGAGAGGGTGGGCGGGTGGGGAGAGGGTGGGAGGGTGGGGAGAGGGTGGGTAGGTTGGGAGAGGGAGGTGAGGAAGCAGGGAGGCGGGGAAGCAGAGAGGCGAGGAAGCAGGGAGGTGAGGAGTCCCAGGGGCTCATACCCTCTCCTCCCGTTCTGCCACCCCTCCTCCTCCTGCACCTCATGCCAGGTCCGCAGCACTCCAAGTTTTGCTCCTCTTATTTACTCTCTTCTACCCTCTCTTCAGACGGTCCCTGCTCTTTCCCCCCTCCTCCATCCATCCCTCTCTCCCCTCCGCCCCGCACGCCAGGCTGTTTCAGATTCGAGCCAAGTTCTACGACTTGCTCATCAACTGCATCCCGCCGCACCTCATCCTCAAGGTAAGGCAGGGGTGGGTGAGGGATCCTATGAGTTGACTTTTGAGTCGACCTAAAGTCAGATTCGAGCCAAGTTCTACGACTTGCTCATCAACTGCATCCCGCCGCACCTCATCCTCAAGGTAAGGCAGGGGTGGGTGAGGGATCCTATGAGTTGACTTTTGAGTCGACCTAAAGTCAGATTCGAGCCAAGTTCTACGACTTGCTCATCAACTGCATCCCGCCGCACCTCGTCCTCAAGGTAAGGCAGGGGTGGGGGATCCTTTGGCTACGCCCTAGGCTATAGACAGACTCTAATGGCTAGGCTAGCTATAGGCTGGTTTTCAGTGTCTGATAGGCTATAAACTCAACGGTCGACATCACAAGTGCTTTTGTTTTGCGTTTATGTGGTGGTGGTGACAGATGCTCAGGTGAAAACGAGCCCTGCTTTTTCCCGTCCCTCTGCCTGACCATCGTCTGATCTGATTGATCCTTCCATCGGCAGTGCTGCTGTTGCGCAAGTTGACTTGTTTTCCCTCCCCCCACTCCCTACAGTCCACCGTCCCTGTGTTTCCCCACCCGCACCTTACAGTGCAGCAAATGTGCCTGGTGGGTGCAGAGCGGTTGAGATGGACAAGCAATGCCCCCCATTTCACCGCCCAATGTCTGCATCCCCCGCCCTCCCCTGTGGCCCCCCCAGCGCCTCACAGGGCAGCTCATGCGCACAATGGACGCTCACAACCTCCCCTATCCCCCTCTTTCTTTCCCTCCACCCCCCCACCTCTCCCCCCAGCGCCTCACAGTGCAGCTCATGCGCACAATGGACGCTCACAACCTCCCCTATCCCCCTCTTTCTTTCCCTCCACCCCCCCACCTCTCCCCCCAGCGCCTCACAGTGCAGCTCATGCGCACAATGGACGCTCACAACCTCCCCTATCCCCCTCTTTCTTTCCCTCCACCCCCCCACCTCTCCCCCCAGCGCCTCACAGTGCAGCTCATGTGCACAATGGACGCTCACAACCTCCCCTATCCCCCTCTTTCTTTCCCTCCACCCCCCCACCTCTCCCCCCAGCGCCTCACAGTGCAGCTCATGCGCACAATGGACGCTCACGAGTAGCCTCCTCTCGTTCCAACCCCCACCTCCATCCCCTCCCGCCTCCCAACGTCTGACGGTGGAGCTGAGCTGATGCGCACTTACTTTAGGTAGATGGTGTAAGGTAAGCCAGTATAGTTTCCCCTTCTTCTTCCTCTCCCCCCCCCCCCCCACAGCGCCTAACGGTGGAGCGGATGTGCAAGATGGATGCGGGGCTCACAACTTCATCCGCTCTCACATAGCTTCCCCCTCTTCTTCACCCTCACCCGCCTCCCCCCTGCCCCAGCGCCTAACAGTGGAGTTGATGCGCAGGGTGGATACTCATAACCCCCCCGATCCCCCTCTTACTTCCCCACCATCCCTTAACCCCCCTCACCCCCCCCCAGCGCCTGACAGTGGAGCTGATGCGCAAGATGGATGCGGAGCTCAAGCACGATGTGTGCCACTGGGCCGCCTTCTATGTGCGTCCTTCAGCAAGGGTGGAGACGGGGGTGCGGTGGTATAGATGGGGTGGTATAGATGGGATGGTATAGATGGGGTGGTATAGATGGGATGGTATAGATGGGATGGTATATATGGGATGGTATAGATGGGGTGGTATAGATGGGATGGTATAGATGGGGTGGTATAGATGGGATGGTATAGATGGGGTGGTATAGATGGGATGGTATAGATGGGGTGGTATAGATGGGGTGGTATAGATGGGATGGTATAGATGGGATGGCATAGATGGGGTGGTACAGATGGGATGGTATAGATGGGGTGGTATAGATGGGGTGGTATAGATGGGGTGGTATAGATGGGGTGGTATAGATGGGGTGGTATAGATGGGATGGTATAGATGGGGTGACAACCACTCAGAAGCTCAAGCATGACGTGTGCCACTGGGCCGCGTTCTATGTGTGTGCCACATGGGAGGGGGGAGGTGGGATGGGAGGGAAGGTGACGGGTGAAATAGGGGGAAGGAGGGATGGGAGGCGGGATGGAGTGAAGGAGAGGGAAGGGGAAGAAGGAGAGGGGTGCGGATGGAGGGGGAAGGAACCAGGGGTTGAGATGTAGTTGGTGTGGGTTTCCAGTCAAAAGCCCGAGCATGGGCTGAGAGCATGAGCTGAGAGCACGAGCTGAGCATGAGCTGGGTCACTGGGCCGCGTCCCACGTGTTTATGAGGAGGAGGGTGAGGGGAGAGTGATGGTGAGGGTGAGGGTGAGGGTGAGGGTGAGGGTGAGGGTGAGGGTGAGGGTGAGGGTGAGGGTGAGGGTGATGTGATCGTGATGGTGATGGTGATGGTGGTGGTGATGGTGATGGTGGTGGTGGTGGTGGTGGTGATGGGAAGGGTGGTGGTCATGGTCGTGGTGATGGTGATCAGAGGGTGATGGTGATCAGAGGGTGATGTTGGTCACTGAAGGGTGGTCGTTGGAGGGTAGATTTCCACATTCAGGAAACGTGCTGTTGCTTCGGATCAAGCTCACGCTTGAGGCATGTTCCTGACAGCCCTTAATGTGCGTGTATTGAGGAGAGGTGGCAACTGGTTTCAGGAACGGTCGGTGTACTGGCTGGTGGCAACTCCTTTGAGATTGCCTCAGCCGTTTACTGCAAGAACCTCTCACCGCAGTCTGTCGTTCGACGGGCATCATGCTAAGTGGGGTTGCTAAGTGGGGTTGCTAAGTGGGGTTGCTAAGTGGGGTTGCTAAGTGGGGTTGCTAAGTGGGGTTGCTAAGTGGGGTTGCTAAGTGGGGTTGCTAAGTGGGGTTGCTAAGTGGGGTTGCTAAGTGGGGTTGCTGAGTGGGGTTGCTAAGTGGGGTTGCTAAGTGAGGTTGCTAAGTGGGGTTGCTAAGTGGGGTTGCTAAGTGGGGTTGCTAAGTGGGGTTGCTAAGTGGGGTTGCTAAGTGGGGTTGCTAAGTGGGGTTGCTAAGTGGGGTTGCTAAGTGGGGTTGCTAAGTGGGGTTGCTAAGTGAGGTTGCTAAGTGGGGTTGCTAAGTGGGGTTGCTAAGTGGGGTTGCTAAGTGGGGTTGCTAAGTGGGGTTGCTAAGTGGGGTTGCTGCTCGTGGACGAGTGCAAGCATGAGATTACAATCCTCTCAATGCCTTCAATGCTGACAATGCATAAGACGTAATGCAGTACAGTACGTTGATGGCCTTTTGCACACCTGTGTGTGTGTGGGTGTGGGTGCATGAGCAGGAGCACCGGTTGCATCTGGGGCAGAAGTCGATATTCCACCTTGAAGGTATGCTGCTGGCAGCACATGCCAATGCCCGGTTAACCCAATCTGGCACACACACCAAGTTCCATCACTTGTCTCCATTCTTCTGCATCCACCAAAGCAGAGACGCTCATCGTGTGACAACCCTTTCACCGTGTGACAGCCCTTTCACCTCACCAAATCCATAGAGCTTGTGGATCAAGCCAGGATGTCGTCACCTTTGCCTCGCCTTGAACTGCTGCTGTGCCATTTTTCAACCCAACCCTTCCCATCCCATGCGCTGTTCACTCGTTGAGTCATGAATGGCACCCTCGTCTTGTCATGTGATTCTTTCTTAGGTGTCTTCTAAACTTCAAAAAAATCAGGCCCCACCTCAACCCCCCCCTCCCCTCTTCCCAACCTTCCCCCCTTTCCTCCCTCCCTCCCGCTGCTGTGGTTTGCCCATGCAGCCTTCGCTGCCAAGGCCATGTCGATCTACAAGGAGTTCCTCATTAACGCGTTTGGTTGATGCGGAGCTTTAGCGGGTGTATGTCGTACCTACTGTAATCCCCTTGATGTTCCCTAGAAGTCTTGGGGGGGACATTCTCCAGATTCGTTGAACAACAGTAGAGTAGATATTGCAATGGCATGTGATTTTTAAGACTCCTGGACAACTGACCAGGCCCCCAGAAGTCAGCGAAAAAACACTGATTTGCCAAAAATGAACTGATATTTCAGGGGTTTTTTGTATGTTTTGTGTGTGTGTGTGTGTGTGTGTGTGTGTGTGTGTGTGTGTGTGTGTGTGTGTGTGTGTGTGTGTGTGTCTTTTGCTACTACTGATGTCAACTCTGAAACTTCAGTTCTTGTTTTTGTTTTATATTTCTTATTTTTTTATGAGTTGTAGGCTGACTTTCCAGCCTTTCCTTGGAGGTGTCCTGTTACGAGTGCAATTGAGCGAGCGAGCGAGAATTGCACTATCGAAGCAAACAATACAATGAGCGAAGGCACGAGCGAAGAATATATAGCCAAGCTAGCGTGGTAACGGTAACGCAAGAAAATGGGGTGCGCTACGGGCGTAGCGCCGAGGTTGGGAAATGTCGAGGCGGAGGTCCGGAGCGTGGGTTACCAACCGAACCGAGAGGTTGGGTCGCATCGTGAACAGTGGCGGGAGTTGTAGTCGAGGCGAGTGTCGCGAGCGGGTAACGTTTCACTGTTGGGTGCCGATGGTGGGAATGGTCATGTGCGCGGTAAGCAGGGGCGCGAAGTAGGGAAAATGATATTTCCTTTCACTACCCCCCCCCAAAGGTGGCCCTCCTTACGAGAGCGCGTGTACATCTCGAAAGTTTCGGCTGCGCAGGTACTCGGTGAGGACAGGGTGGTTCTCGATTCTATCCAGGGGAACCCAGTTGTCTTCGGTGGGCATGCGGTCTTTCCAGCGGATCAGAAATTAGATCCTGCGGGCTCCCCGTGGGTCACGAACTCGGTGGCTCAGTATCTTTTCAGGCATGATGATTGGCTCTGTCGGTGGCCGTATCATGCTGGCGGGGCGGTTGCGAGGCAGTTGGCTGGTGGATGGGACATATGGGCAGAGCAGGCTGACGTGGAATGACGGGCTGACGTACCAGTCAGCAGGGAGGAGGAGGTGGGCGGTGATGGGGGTGATCATATGGCTGATTCGAAATGGCCCGCAATATCGGGGACGGAGTTTTGCAGTGATGGGTAGGCGGAGGTTTTGAGTGTCGAGTAATACCAGGTCGTCGGGTTGGTAAGTGACGAGGCGGCGGTGGCGGTCGGCATTGCGCTTAGCGATGACGTTTATTTTTTTTATTGCTTCCGCTGCTCGGGTCCGTGCTGCCTGTAATATTTCAGCGAATTGTTGCGCACCTGGTACTGGGTTGTCGGGATTCGGGGTCATGGGTACTGTGGGGTCTTGTCCGTAGTTCAGGTAGAACGGTGACTGTTGGGTCGTGGCGGATGGCGAGTTGTTTTATGCGAACTCGATGAGTGGCAGTTGCTGTTCCCACGTGGTCGGGTCGTCGCACGTGGCTCGGATGAGTTGTTCCATGGTCTGATTTGTCCGTTCTGTCTGTCCGTCGATTTCGGGTGCCGGACTCCTGCCACAGGTTCCGCCAGAAGTTGCTGGTGAATTTCGTGTCGCGGTCGCTGATGATCGCCGCTGGTATCCCGTGCAATCGAACCATGGTTGTGATGAAGAGGCGGGCTGTTTCTTCGGCTGTGATTGATTTCTTGCAGGCTGCGAAATGTGTCATCTTCGTCAGCCGATCGACGACGACCAGGATCGCGTCTTCCCACTTGCTCCAGCCGGTAACCCCGTGACAAAGTCCATCGTCACCTGCTGCCAAGCACGCTCTGGGGGTGGTATCGGCTGCAACTGTCCTGCTGGTCGCTGTCGTGACGACTTCATGAGCTGGCAGGTGGGACACGATGCCACGTGTCGTTGCACGTCGGTCAGCATTTCGGGCCAGTAGTAATACCGCTGCAGCTGCTGCCGTGTTTTTTCTACTCCGAAATAGCCCGGTAGTAACAGTTCCCTTTAAAGTGTAGCCCGGTACCCAGATCCGATCAGTGCCGGCTTTTACGTAATAAACCCCCTTTGTTGCTGCGAACTGCTGCGAGTTTCCTCCGGTGAAGAATGGGTCTGTTTGGTATCCGTGGGTAAATAGTCCTGTAAGCAGTGGGCTGGTCTGTGCGAGCAGTATGGCGTGGATTTGGGCAGTGGGGCGGGTCAGTGCGTCGGCGATGTTTGATGCCCCCTTTTTGTAGGTGACCGTGTAATGGAAATTCGACTCGAGAAAATCAAGCCATCGAATCTGTCGTGGGTTGAGGTGGGGCTGTGCGCGGAGGTACTGTAGTGATTTGTGGTCTGTCCGTACTGTCACGTCTGCGCCGGTCAAGTAACAGCGCCACACTTTGAACGCGTGCACGATCGCGAGCATTTCGCGGTCGTGTATCGGGTAAATTTTCTCGGGCGGATGCAGTTTTCGTGACTCGTATGCGATGGGCTGTAGGCCGTTGCCGAAATCCTGTAGCAGTACGGCTCCAATGGCGATGTCGCTTGCGTCGGTAACTACTTCGAATGGGCGGTGTGGGTCGGCGATGCGCAGTACGGGCGGTGAACAGAGAACATTTTTCAGGGCAGAGAAGGCAGCATGCTCTTTCTCCCCCCACGTAAAAGCGACCCCCTTCCGCAGTAAATCCGCCAGTGGGGCAGTTAAGCGGGCCATGTCGGGGACGAACCGACGCACATAATTAACGAACCCTAAAAAACTCTGCAGCTCCGTGATGTTCGTCGGGGGGTGCCATGCTTTTACCGTGTCCAGCTTCTTTGGGACGATCTCAACTCCAACCTCCGAAATAACGTGCCCCAAAATTTCTAACCTATCCTGGAAGAACTCGCACTTGGAACCCTTGGTCAGTAGTCTGTGCTCGTCTAAAACTTTAAACACTGCTTCCAGATCTGCTAAGTGCTGCTGTTTATCGCGACTGTAGACTAGGATGTCGTCGAGGTAAACTATCACGCATTTATCTAAGAGTGGCCTAAACGCCTCGTTCATGGTCATCTGAAATGTCGCCGGTGCGTTGGTCAGCCCGAATGGCATCACGGTGTACTCGAATGACCCGTACCTATGTGAGAGAAGTAGGTAGAGTTAGGTGGGCTTGGGAGCCATAGCTTAGGAGCCTTGGTAGTTAAGTTCGAGGGTGAGGAGAGTGTCGAGAAAGTTGTGAAGGGGAATGAGAGTTTCACTATAGGTTCAAGGGTACAAATATGAAAGAAGTGAAGCAAGGTGCACCACCTAACAAGCAAGGTAACTACACTAAGTCTACATTGCAGGCAGTTATAAAGTGATGTATACAATAACATTCTGACACACCCCCTAACTGCCTGCAGTGAAGAACCATGTGCAGAAACACCCCCGGAAGGGGTACACCAAGTAGAGCGCAGCAGACAGAGAGGGCAAATGAGGAGGAGAGACTGTGGAGGAAGAGAAGATGCGAGGCAACGACTGAAGCTGCAGAGGCACGGGCACAGGAGCGGCTGACTCAGTGGCTACCGAAGCAAGGGCGACGGACTACTGGAGTGACTGGCTCCGCGGCTATAGACGATCGGCAGGAGCAACGGACCCACTGGCGACTGGTGCAACAGGCTCACTGGCTACCGAAGCAAGGGCGACGGACTACAGGCGCTGCAGGCGACACGACAGCTACCTTCACACAACCTCCCCCAGCTGCCCCACTCCCCTCTCACACACTCCCTGTTCAAACCCTAGCTCCACTCCCACAGCACCCCCCTTAAACCCTAAACCCTAGGCTCCCACACACCCACCCCCCTCAGCGACAGCTGCAGCAGTGGGAGACGAGGGAGGAGGAGGAGCAAGGGGAGGAACACATAACCGCCACCCCCACACCCGCCACCCCCATGCTCGGCACCCCACACCCCCAGCACCACGGAATGCACGGGGGGGGGGGGGGAACGGGACGGGCTGCAGGTGCGGGCTGCTCCAGGGGCGGCCGCTGCAGGTGCGGGCTGCTCCAGGGGCGGCTGCTGCAGTTGCTGGCTGCTCCAGGGGCGGCTGCTGCAGGTGCGGGCTGCTCCAGGGGCGGCTGCTGCGGTTGAGGGCTGCTCCAGGGGCGGCTGCTGCAGGTGCAGGCTGCTCCAGGGGCGGCTGCTGCAGTTGCGGGCTGCTCCAGGGGCGGCTGCTGCAGGTGCGGGCTGCTCCAGGGGCGGCTGCTGCGGTTGAGGGCTGCTCCAGGGGCGGCTGCTGCAGGTGCAGGCTGCTCCAGGGGCGGCTGCTGCAGTTGCGGGCTGCTCCAGGGGCGGCTGCTGCAGGGGCGGCCGCTTCAGGGGCGGCTGCTGCAGGGGTAGCGGCTGCTGGGGCGGCTGCTGCAGTGGCGGCTGCTCCAGGGGCTGCTGCTGCAGCGGTGGCTCCAGGGGCGGCTGCTGCAGTGACGGCTGCTCCAGGGGCGGCTGCTGCAGCGGCGGTTGCTCCAGGGGCGGCTGCTGCTGGGGCGGCTGCTCCAGGGGCTGCTGCTGCAGTGGCGGCTCCAGGGGCGGCTGCTGCAGTGACGGCTGCTCCAGGGGCGGCGGCTCCAGGGGCGGCTGCTGCAGCGGCGGCTGCTCCAGGGGCGGCTGCTGCTGGGGCGGCTGCTGCTGGGGTGGCTGCTCCAGGGGCGGCTGCTGTTGCAAGGCAGGCCCGCGCGCTGCTGCAAAGCAGGCACGGGCGCAAGGGAGGCAGAGGCGGCGGCCAGGGGGGGGTGCGCCGCAACGAGCAGGTGACAGGGCCACAAGGGGCGGCAACGGAGCCGCTAGGGGCGGCAACGGGGCCGCGAAGAGCGGCGACGGGGCCGCTAGGGGCGGCAACGGGGCCGCTAAAGGCGGCGACGGTGCCGAGATGGGGCGGCGACAGGGCCGCGAAGTGTGGCGACGGGGCCACCGAGGGTAGCGCGAGGGGCCGTGAGAGGAGCAGCGACGGGGCCGCGAAGAGGCCGTGAGGGGCCGAGAAGGGCGGC